GAAAGAGCTTATTCTCATTCCTTGTTTACAACCACCAAGACAGTAAGTTACACTGCCACAACAACTCCTTCTCCACTTTACAAATCCTCTAGATATCCCTTATCACATGACAAACCACATACCCACTCACAGCTCTAAGACCAAATATTTTTTAAAGAAAATGTGTTTACAAGACCCTAAACCCAGATTATACACACAGTATAATCTCACTTTAATTTAAGGTACATGAGCAGATAAGCAACACCAAGAATATAATTGATAGCCAGAGCTATTTATCTCCATAAAATACATTTTGAGCTACTGAATTCCCCATTAATAGTCTCCAGCTCTTGAGCTAAAAGTGTGTGCTTGGAAAGACCCAAATACATTTCTTAAATGTCAGTCAATCAACATTTCAATTATTCGTCCTAAGTGTCACTTACTTTGTCCATTATATTGAGTTCCTCCATAAAAACAAGCTACTGTCAGCTTCCTTGTGATGTCCTTGAAATCTTTGGCAACCTGATTTGCCAGCTCTCTTGTTGGACAAAGAACTAGAACCTACATAGAAGAAAGACAAATAGATGTTCTCTCAGCATGGCTTCTGCCAAGAAATCACTAGACTTCTAATCATCAATTTAGACCTGACCATTTACAAAATTAAAATTAAAAAAATCTAGTTTAAATAGTCATTTAAGCAAAGGTTGGAGAAACACGCTGCTTGCCTCATGTAACATCACTAAACTCCTTCAAAACATACTCATTTGGGACAGGCTAACTTCTCTTTAAATTGGGTAGGAGATACTTAAATCTTACTTCAGTTTAGCTCCTGAACAGATCAGGAGCTACAAGCCTCCCTCTACAAGCCTGCTGTTTGAGTACAAGACTGAAGGATCTGGGTAACACAAGGCTTTTACACCCTCTCAGTAATGACCCACAGTCCTGTGAGAAGATGTAAGGAAGAGCCATCAGCTGTCCCTTGGCTTCCCTGTGACTCAGGGAATCATGTTCCACCTGCAGAGCTGTGTTCAGTGCTAAAACACATCCCTGCAGAAGCACTCAAGGAATTCTCCTCTCTCCAGTACACAGGCTTCACTGCAGGCATGTAACTAATTCAGCTTAACATGAGATGGAAGTACTGCTCTCAAACCTGGCATCAGTGGCTTCACAAAAGGAACCTTAAAATCTTTATCCTGGTAATTCTTTCAAAATACAAACCCATTACCAAAAAAGCAAATAATAGTGTATTATGGTAGAGTGAGGCCTGAAATCTTTTTGAAGGCTCCCTGAAAGCTTTCCTTTCCTTAAAGGACTGCTAAATCTAGGGACAGTGTTCTCAGTCAGCCAGCCAACATGATGGGCAGAGGCATCTAAAACTGCTAGTACTACTTTTGGAATGCACCTCAGGTAATCTATGAGAAGGGTGACAAGATGAAATAAACTGACAGAAATTATTAATGGGGACACCATGAGCCTCGGCCTGTCTCGTTTAGGAGGCATCATAAGAGTTCAGAGAAAAACCACACATGGTCTTTAAACCATGCTGGCAGAAAGCACACAGATCGTAACGAATCTGCATTCTCTGGAGCAGAAGCTTCACCATTTGGTGGTGGTCCTTGTGAAAACTAAGTCTGTTTTTAAAACCACCCACTGTTTACACTGTTTAAAAAAAAAAGCCTGTTTAAGTAGACAGCTTTTATCAAGCTGTCAAGTTACCATTAGTAACTAATCTATTCCTATTCTAGGAGAAAAACAAGCACCCAGTAACCTGTGGCCCTGTGGGGTGACTGCAGAGGACAAAACTGCAGAGGAACACGTGGCACACCTGTGGTTTCAGTCTCCCTGTGGCAGAACAAGGAACTGACAAGTGGGTAGAGCTGCTGTGCTCTGCACTGAGCAGAGGCTGTGAGGCAGCACAGGGCACAGGCAAAGCCCAGTGAACACAGATTTCAAACAACCTTTAATGTGGGTTGGCTTATCCCTGCACAAACCTGAAGAACTTCCCCAGTGTGTTAAAATCTGAATCACTGGGATGCAGGACAAAGCAAAACGAGCGTTCTACCTCGGCACAGTTACCTTGGGTGGACGGCCTCTTCTTCTTTCCTGAGACTCTCCCTGAAGCTTTTCAATTAAGGGAATGGCAAAAGAGAATGTTTTTCCTGTTCCAGTTCGTGCCTGAGCAATGACATCTTTGCCAGAATACACTGGGTTGAAGGTCTTCACTTGCACAGGAAACAGGTACGTCACTCCTCGAGCTGTGACAATTCCAAGAGATTTCCTTAATATGATCATTTTACAGGTGTTCTTTCATACTCTTCAGTGGAAGTTATTCCAATCAGCATTTCCATCAACTCTACACTAAGTCAGGATTATATCATCACCTCCACTGATTTATTTATTACAGGGGTCATCTGCAAAGTGCCCTGGGTCTGTCCATTTTATTCTACTTCATATCAGCACACACAGTACCAGCTGGGACAGATGAAATTATCAGCCTTTACGGGAGACTTTGAGGACTGTGCCTTTATTTTTGTAATAGTCCCCAGCTATCCATGAAAACCTCTTCGTTTCAAATCTCAAAACCTCTTCTATTCTTCTCTTAATTCATACTAAGTCATGTACAACCTAACATTAAAGATATTAAATAGAACTGGTTTTCCTTTATTCACAACAACATAACCTTTAATTGAAAAGTTCTCACACATCACTAATTTTTTTTCCCCTTATGTCATTTAGAATTCTACTGTAAAGGCTGAGCTGGGCAACACTGCAAACAGGAAAGTCTGTGTTCCAAGGTGTATGTAGAGCAGGCAATCCCTGTCTCCTGCACAGTGCCCCTGCTTGCATATGCACGAGAGGAGCACATCTCAGAGATCACTGGTCCAGTATGTTGGGCATAAAAACACATGACAGAGATCACTGAGGTTCTTATTTTACCTTGAAGAAGCTGGACAGTTTCTTTGGAAATAGAAAAATTGGAGAAAGCCCCCTCTTTCTGTTCGCCAGTTAGCTCCTGTTGGGTAAAGAATAATTTGGGTAAGATTCCACATGAATATCACGTGACTGTCAGTAAATCCAAGGTAACAGCACAGGCACTGGTGTCACATACTTCAGTGCCAGCATCACAGCTAAAGGGCCTTCTTTGATTTACCATCATACCTTGAAGTTGGACAAAGTTAGCAAGCAATCTGTAAGTGGAGACTGTTTCATATCTAACAGCATAGTAAATGCAAAACACCCAAACCAAAACTCTGAAAACTCTGAATTAGAATGGTAGAATATCCTTAGTTGGAAGGCACCCACAAGGATCACCAAGTGCAACTCCTGGCTCTGCACAGAACACCCCAACACTCACATCTAACGATGCTGAATCATATCAAAGCTCTGTCTCACTGCAACCTGTCTGTCCGCCAAAGCTGACAGACTGCTGAAGTGAGGAAACCCTGGTGCACTGATCTGGAACTTCAGGACTTTCTTAACTCAAAATTTTTGCAAATAATCAACGGAATGGACAATTCGAGAAGCTTTAAACCCTGATAATTTACAGCACTTTCAGCTGATTGGGAGGCGGGGGAAGGGACAACCCATTCCAAATCTGGCCTTATTGCAAGACAGGAGTTGAAAGCTGCACACACCACTTAACTAAACCCAGTCGCTGGCTTTACCTGCTCCTGCTCACTCTCGCTCTCGCTGTCACTTGACGTCTCACTAGAGCTGCTCTGCCGGCTCTTGCGGGAGGATTTGCTGCTTAAGGAAGACAATTTAGGTTTCTCCAGGCTTTCTTCTCTCGCATGACCGTTCTGTTTACTGACACTCTTCGACTTCTTGACTTTCGGGGTATAAACCGCCTCATCCGATTCCTCGCTTTCATCTGTCGGAGCCTTCCCCCTCTGAAATTTGTCCCGGCGTTTAGATTTCTTCTCTTTCTTCTCCTTCTGGCAAGGCACAGAGCAAATGAAAACACACGCTCGCGGATCCAAGGACAGGGAACAGGGCGCGGAACAGTTAAACCTTGGAGCGCACGTTCTAGTTACTGCCGAGGGGGGGAACAGGTAGAGGGCGACAGCCCCCGCCCGCCGCCGAGCAGAGGCGCGTTCCCCCCACGAGGCGCCCGGGCCTCGGCGCTCGGGGGAAGCGCTCCGTTCCGCGCCCTGTTCCCTGTCCTTGGATCCGCGAGCGTGTGTTTTC